TAGATATTTTTTGAAAATATGAACTTAACATTCATAAAAGAGATCTGCTTCTTCACAAGCATAGTTTTTCATAAGCCCAACTTTCACAAACATTACACTGACTTAAGCCAATTTTTATCAAAGTTTTTTAGTTAAATAATATCTTTTCATCATTTTATTTTTTTTAAATACTAATGATTTTTTAATGATTTTCTTTTGAATTTTATATTTTCTTATCTTTATCATTATCTTTACTTAGATTGTCCAATACCGCTACTTCATTATCCAATTTATATCATTCAAATGACACGCAATAAAAAAATAATGTATAAAATGAGTAATCTTTAAAACAAAAGAGATTTTAAATCCACAACTTGAAGAATAATAAATGTTATTTACATTGATAAACTAAAAATGATATTTGACTTATATTTAATAATGTTACTGATTAGTAAAATTAACTCTATGTCGGTATAAACAGTAGCTATGCAACAAAATGTGCATTAATTCATAAATATCGATACATCTGTTTTCAATATGGAGAAATCCCAGTTATCAGAGAAGATGCGTCCGATAGACCACATGCGTCTATTTTAAACAATTCTTGACCCATATCAGCCACAGTATCTGACCTTCCTCTAAGAATATCAGTTCTTGTTGCAAAAATACATCTGATCATTTCACAGTGATGTCTAATTTTGTTTTTTTTTTTCAATTTTTTTCGTATTTACAGACAATTTCAATTTTTATAATTTTACAATTTTACAATTTCTTTAGGATAATAAGCCAACGTTTATGAGAATAAAAAACATTTTTTTAAAAATAACTTACAGATAAAATTATTGATTAAAAAGTGCAATAGTATTAATTTAATTGAAACATAACTTATAATAAAATGTTTATATCAATGTGAGTTTTTTATCAACAATTGTGAGAATTAAAATGTATTATAAGAAATTTTTATGTTTAGCTCATAAAAATATAAGAGCGGTTTGGACTCATGGTGGTCTTCTCAGCACACAGGAAGCTATTTGGAAAGGTATACCAGTAATCGTAATGCCTTTTTTTATGGATCAAAAATCCAATGCACAAATATTAGTAACTAAAGGCGTTGGCATATATTTGGATGTCAAAACTTTATCTACGCAAACTATATTACACGCAGTTGAAGAAATATTTTACAATGAAAGGTATTATATTTCAACTATCTTTTAATATCATAATTATTATTTAAGCTAAATAAACAATATAATTATTTCAAGTAATACCTAGATTAATCTAATATAATTGATTAAAAATTTTTCTGTAAAAAATAGTCACCTATATAAAATAATAGATTATGAAATTTAATTTAATTTTTCATGTATCTTGTTATATACAATTCTTTATGTAATTAAAAACGCGCACGTGTTAAAATAAGTTATATTATTAATAATACGTAAACATTTTTAATACAGTTATACAAAAAACATGAAACAGTTATCCAGTGAATTCCGAGATCGACAAATACCGCCATTAGATTTAGCTATTTGGAGCATTGAATACACCGTCCGCCATCCAAATGGAACTTTGGTAACGCCGCTGAAATTTCAAAGTCGAATACAACAGAATTTAATTGATGTTTACGTATTTTTATTTTTTAATATCATCATAATACTGTTAACTGGATTCTTTGCAATAAAAATACTTATTTATTTTTATTATAATCATATATATACGGCATCTAAATTTCACAAAAGCAAACAGTCGTAAAAGCCGCTAAAATACAATATTAATCATCAATAATGTAGTTAAGCCCTGGCGAGGCCTGATGGCGCCAGATACTTTTTTCGGAAGCCTAGCGGTGCGATACATACAAAGTTCTTTCTATAATTATTTAAAACTAATTTTTTATGTTTGTGTAGTAAGAAGAAAGAGAAGTATTTATTGAAATCTGAATGCGACATGATAAACATAGTGTAGTTAATCAAAGAATCCAATACAAGGTGTCTCAGAAATAATGTACGCGATACGTTGAGGGCATAGAAGAGATTAAGGGGAACAAAAAAGTCTTATAATATTTTGAGATATTCGCTGTAGTTTTCAAATAAAAAAATAAAACGTTTAAGCCAATGTACGATGACGCCACGCGCCGCGAATCATGTGAGAAGATTTTATTTCATAAAAATCTGATAAATCTTTGTTCAAAGCACCAGGGTACTTTTTTATTTTTAGAATATTGTACTATTATTAGAATATTATATCACTGATTAATCACGTAATATTAATCTAATAAGGAATATTATCCAATTGTTATATGCTAATTTTGACAAAATCTGTTAATGAAAATGATTGTAAAACAAAAAATAATGATGCTAATTTTATTAACAATTATTAACATAAAGATAAATATAATTAAAAAATTATATAATTTAGAAATGTAAAGCTTCTATAATCGACTCATATGACTCTTATTATTAAATAATTAAATTAAATTCTCTATGTATATCTCTGTTGGCTGCATTGAAAAGATAAAGCTTTAGTAATTCTTTATTATGATTGATCAAAATGTTATATAAAAAAATAATACTATGTATTTTTTAAATAACTATCAATCTTGGTATAGGCTCCAACGTATAAATCCAAGGATAGATATAAATCAGTCAATGCGAGCCAACACAGGTTAGGCATGTATGAAATTATATATTTTATTCTTGAGAAAAATTGACAAACATTTCAACTCTTTTGATTGGGTCTTTCTTAGTGTAAAAATAAAAATAAAATCAGTGACTTATAAATTTAATATAAAAAATGCGATGTGAAGCAAATTAAAGTATTGTTAACATATATTCATAAAATAATAATAATGTTGTTGTATCTAACAAAATACTCAAATCTAACATTTCAGATTATCTGTAATTTAATAAAGTCGAATAAATCATTAAAATATAAATCAAATCAAGATAATCAATAGGTTCTAAAGAAAAAAATCTAAAAGATAATAAATAAAATGCCAATTTGAGTCAACACTGGTTATTAGTGTGTATTTTATTATATATCATTTATTCAAAATGAATAGTAAAGCGTAAAACTTACGAAAGAGTCGAAGTAAATGCTGATGCTAATGAAAAGAAAATGCCAATGATAAAATCAGAATTCATACAATCTGAATAGTATAGCAGACTCTATTTGCAATCTGCTGTCAGGTTATATCAGCAGATTCTGTTTGATTTCTACTCGTATCATCAATCTGCTGGCATAACATGTCAGCGCTTTAAATTATCGACAAATAATCAAATGCGATAAATATCTATGGTTTTGTAATGAATTCTACTTGAGTTTGCAAATTTGTCCTCAAAGTGCTAATATTTTATTGTACTAATAATATTTTACTTAGGAATATGTATGTAATTATGTTTTCAATTGTCATCAAGTACTAATGATTTCGAGAATGAAGAGACCTTTCATGATAGTCATGATAAAATCTTATTCGTAAGAGAATGATTATATTTTTGGTAGATTGTAGTAATAATAGGAATATATCCCTGATCATTCTAATCGAAATCATTATATTAACTCTTAGTAAACACAAGGCGTAACGAGCTTTAAAATAATCAATTTTTTAAATTGTAACATTCGAATATGTTTTGAACTCAGTAACACTGACAAACAAATCGTGTGAAACGTTAATATTTCTTAAACTTTTTAAAATTGTTCTTTATATCAAAGGAATCTATCATTAATTTTAACTTAAATTAAAAAAAATAAAAAGGTTAAAAAATATTCTTTTATTTTTTTAGAAATATGTATTCTGTGTATACTGTGTATACAGTTGTGCATACTGAGAGTTAAGACATACTTATTTTATGTATGCTTGAAGTTATAAATATTCGAAATTACGTTTATGTTAGAAAATGATACTAAAGGGAAGCCTCAAGAATAAGAAATAGCCCAGGGCAAATAGTGCAAACTTATTTTAATTTTTCATGATTAATTAATTTCTATTGTTTTTATATTGAATAAAAGGCTGAAAAATATTACGTTTTGTTTTTTTTTTATGCTTACTTAAATCCTATTTTACGTAATTTAAATTAATATTTTTATGAACAGAATGAGATCAATCATCAATTGGTATAAGGAAAACGGATTGCTTATTTAAAAAATTATATATTTTGATTACATATTTTTTAGTGGATTTTTTATTATGTGTTTTCTTTACATCAATAGATTATCTCATTATTCTATTCATAAAAGTATTACAATTAGTAGTTTAATATTTCATATCAATACCTTTTTAATATTTCATGTGCCAGAATAAAGTTTAAAATATTTAGTAAACTATTATATTGATTTCTTTTATATCTTTACCCCTCAAAACTGTCCCACTTTCATCTAAAATATTTTTTTTAGTTTACTAATAAATTTTTAGTTTACTAAAAAAACGCAATTGTGTATACGCATTCTATTCGCGTCTGACTGCTATTGTGCATACGTACGCATTATTAAGTAAGAAACAAATAAGATATGCGCAATACCAATAATAGAAACGGACAAGATACAAATATGCAGTTGCAATAAGAAACTGACAGGATGCGTATATACAATTGTACGTAGTTGTAGTAAAAAACGGACAAACTACATATAGCATCCTGTCTGGTTCCGCAGTCAGATACGAATATCCTAGCTGTAAGTATGTTCCATTCTGTTAGGAAATCAGTTACATACAGGTAGCATGTCCATCCATCTTTGCCTACAGAAACTATTAGGTTATGCAGCCTATTTAATTGTATTTATCCGTAATTACGGATAAAAAAATATACCGTCGAATCAGTCAGAAACGAATAGTTTATTATATATTAGTTTCTATCGGTTCCTATAGGAATTTTTATCAGGGTAAGTTTTGACAGAATAAATAATAATTTCTTTAAAATAATACACATATAGTAATCGCGATTATTATTTTATACGCACTTTGAATATTATTTTATGTTATTTGAAACAAACTAATAAAAGCTAATTTAAAAATAATGAAATTTTAAGTATTTTTAATTTTAATGTACATAAATACATATAACACCTGTTTATATGCGATGCGTTTGTTCCATTTGTTTGAATAATCATTGCCAGAGAAGATTCTCCTAAATTTAGTTTTTTAATCGTATATCAAATGATATTTTTTGTAATGTTAAGAAGTTATAACTGTATTTATCCTTAAATTTAAATGGAAATCCTTTATCTGGCAACATACTTTGAAATAAAACACAACTAACTTCAAGAGAAAAAGTGTCATTGATCATGTATGTAATAATAAAAATTGAATAAAATAGAATTAAATACTAAAGATCAATATCTTTTGAGATCTTTATTTTTAACATTAAAAAAAGAAATGAAGAATAATAAGACTGGTAAATATAATAAGTAAAAAAATATAATAAGTAAATATAATAAGTAAAGTTAAAATGTAGAAAATCACATCATATTAATTTTTATGTGCATATTTTGTAATTCAATTAAATAATAAGATTGATTGTTAATCTTAGTATTTAACATACAAAATATAAAATACTTTTATATACTTTCATGAAATATAAAATACAAAATATTTTTACGTGCTCCGTTGAAATACAAAACGTAAAATACAATTGTCTTATAAATATACCATTTTTCACATAAAAATATTTCAAATACGTGCCTAGCCCTACTTGTAGAGACTTCTAACAGTTCCAGCTTGAACTATTCAAGTATAGGTTGCCGACAAGTGGTACTGATCGTTGCAAGCGAGTTAGAATTCATATCACTGGCACCAAGTTAAATTCCACACAATTTTATGTATCATTTGTATAAAAAATTTGATATTAACAACTGGCGCCAAGTTAAATTACACAAAATTTTATGTATTATTCTTATAAAAAATTTGATATCAACAATTCACGCCAAGTTAAATTCCATATAAAGAATATAATTCAATACTATTTTCAATTTTGTAGATGAAACCTATTGTATATATGTATCTTTGTATTCCTATTAAAGATCTTCCTATTCCATTCCATTTTAATAGAAAAATTTTTTTATGTAAAAATTTAATGTTGCTTGATCAAATAAGAAAAATAACAAAAACAATTTAAAAATTATAATAATAATTGATAAAAATAATTGAGAGAAGAAGAGTATAATAATAATTTAAAAATAATGATACCCAGTCAAAAATGATAATAATAATTGATAAAAATAATTGAGAGAAGAAGAGTATAATAATAATTTAAAAATAATGATACCCAGTCAAAAATGATAATGGAATCGATATCGAATCGATTTGATGTCAATTTCATTATCATTTCTATAATGATTTAAATACATTTATTCTTATTTCGAACTGTAGATAGAAGTTAATATAACATAACATTTGTTGGCCAATATTCTTATAAAATGCAGAAGTGGCCAATTGTAAGAACATATAAATGTTTTTAAGAATATTATCTGCTATGTGTTATATCTTTCTCAGTAATCGAGTATATAATTTTATGCATACATGTTCATATATACATGTAATGTCACTCATATTGCTTTTGATTACAAATAAAATATATATCAAAATGCAATATCTTGCAAATAAAAAATAATGCATTCAATTCCATGCATACATTAATTGTGCAGCAAATATTTTAGTAAATTAAGGTAAATAAATTAAGATAAACAAAAATATTAATAAATATTAAAAATATTTTTAAAATAAAAGCTCTTTTTGGTAATAAATAAAATAATTTAGTAATAAATAAAATTTGGCAATAAATAAATAAAATTATTGTTTAGCAAAATTTTTACTTAAAGATTTATCTTAA